TATACACAAGAATAGTTTTCATTATATTTTCATATACATATGGAATTACCATTTTCACCTCATTGCCTTCTTATTCTGATCCACATCCTCCCCATAACTAGTCCTCTGTGTGTGTGTGTGTGTGTGTGTGTGTGTGTGTGTGTGCGCGCGCATCCATCTGTCCATCCCAGTGAGTTTCATTAGGATTTCTTACTGAGTTATGGGTGAGGGGTTCTTTGGAGGATTGTGTTCACTTTCTAGAAACTGGTAATTATTTTCTGCTTTGAAGAATGCATTGTGCTCTATAGTGCAGGCTTGTTTATAGTGAGACGATCCTATACAGAAAAACACCACAATGAAAAATACATTTAAATGGTTGCAGAGATGGCTCAGAAGTTAAGAGCACTGGCTGCCCTTCCAGAGGTCCTGAGTTCAATTCCTAGCAACTAATGGTGGCTCACAACCATCTGTAATGGGAACCCGGTGCCCTTTTCTGGTGTCTCTGAAGACAGTGACAGCATATATACATATATAAAAAAATTAAATCCTTTTTTTTTAAAAAAAATACATTTAAGATTTCTAATGAACTGTCTCTGAGTGTATGCAGAAGACCCTTATTATACCAGAGAGTTTTAGGTTTTACTGCACTGAATCTGTTCCTCCAATTTTACTAACAGAGTTTGAGAAGGAACTCATGCTTGGCAGTTTTAGAGCCTCAGACTCCTGCCTCTTAACCTCTGTTTACTTTCTTCTTCAAGCAATATTACAAATACTTCTTTAATGACTCTGCTTGGTGGCATTTCAGATAACGTCACTTAAGTTTCTTGTTTTGAAAATGTTCATATATAAATGAAAACAGGGATCTCATTGTTCAGACTCAGTGGCTGTTAACTCTATCAATATGTTTCTTTCAGAGATGGGACCAACCATTAGTGAGTGTGTCTGTGTGTGCATCTACATGTATAAAATCAATTTATCACTGAGTTCTTTTTAATCATACCAAGTAGCTATAATGCGCTTTAAAATTTAAAATTTGATTCTGTCATACATATGCATATTGTATTATGAACTAGTGTTTTTCTTAGTGTAGTGTGGGTCCTTGACATCTCCCAGAATATAGCTGGAAAAGAAAGATGCATACCCAGTTGGGAAGAGCAAAGGAAACTGGCACTTCAGAGTGTCACCTGAAGTTCATGAAGACAGACTGAAGCTGCCAATCTCTCACTGCTTTCAATTCTGAAAGTGTGGATTCCTATAGACAGAACGTGTGCCCTTCATCCCTGAGCCCAGAGCACACGTGCCCTGAAGTCTGAGGCTGAAGGATGGATGGATGGTCTGAGGGAGGTAGCAGCAGCTATAGGCCAGCTTGGTCCCCTTATGTCAATGTTCTGATCATGGAAACACTACATCTCTTGTTGAGATGGTCCGAAGGAGGTAGCAGCAGCTATAGGCCAGCAGCTATAGCTATTGGTCTCCCTATATCAGTGTTCTGCTCATGGAAACACTACATCTCTTGTTGCTCTGTGTCCTCCAGGCCTCCCAGGAAATGTCTCTCATAGCTCACCTTAACTGCAAGCCAGAGGGAGCAGAATTCTGGGAATAAAGTTGAGTAGAACTGAGGCAACACATTGGAATGCTTCTCTGCTTTATAATTATCCAGTCTAGTTTGATCAAATTTAAACCTTTATATTATTTTAAAATAATATATTGTATTTTATGTATTACAATATATAATTATAAAATATTTCCAAGAGCTATGTGATTTTTACCTAAAAACTTCAGAATGTATCTAGAAAAGTTAGTAGAAGTTTTAAATAATACTTTTAATTCTTTGAGGAGAGGTGGGTCTTGAGAACTCTTCCTTGATCTGTTGTGGAATTTTGACTGGCTTGATGCTGTGAAACTGAGAGGATACGTGCAACAACCATGTCCTTCCCAGAAGTCAGCGCGTTGTAGCTCTCCCACTCACCTGCTGCCTCTCACTTCTTTCCAGCCGTCTTCTATGACATTTCTTGAGCCTTAGATGTTGGCAAGCTGATATAGATGACACATCCACAGAGTTATTCATCCTATGAACTTTGACCAGTTATGAGTCTTAGATAAGAATCTTCTCTGACCAAAAATGAGAACAACACAAATCCATTCGTATAAACATAAATATTTAGAAGACACTGTGACAGTGTGGCCACTTAGCAAAATAAAATCATATCAATAGGCTTCCCTTAAGAGCTATGGTCTTCTCAGTAATGGATTTTTGACCAGGTATAAAATTCTTCCTGTGGAGCTGGGCCCATATCCAATCAAAAAACAGTTGGCTACTTCTGTAACCATCATTCCACTGTTGGACTAATGGGTACATCTTGCCAGCATATCAATATTGTAGCATCTGCACTAGGTAGTGATGTTTCTTTCCCCCAGCCTTGATAGCACCTCTGTTACTGTGCAGGCTAGCCATCTAGGAGAGAGTTTACTGGTCAGTTTGAGGTTGCTTTTTCTATGTACTGCACTCAAAATGAGTGCTATCTTCAGCAATAGGCTCTTAATACCTAAAGATAGAGAAAACAAAACTGTCACTAACCCATTTATTTCTTTTGTTTGTATGTTTATGCATGGACACATCTGTGTGTTTTTGTGTGCACACATCTGTGTCCAAGTTTGTATCAGGAAGTCAGAACTCAGCCTGCACAAGTTAGTTTTCTCTTTTCATGTAGGTCTTGTGGCTAGAAATTAGATCATAAAACTTGTGACAAGCCCCTTAACTCCTGAGTCATCTTATCCACCCAAATCAGTACCTTTTTAAAGCTCTGCTGAACATGAGTTTTTAGGGTCACTATTTTAGACACTGAGTCCTCTTAGTAATTTTCCTGTCTTTTTCGGCAAAGTGGTAAGCATTTTAACCAGTTGCACCTAATTCTGTGTCTTGTTTTATAGCAAAAATAATCTCATATATAGTTGGTAGCTGAGCAGTTATCTAGGTTCAGGATTGTGTTGGCTATTGCAGTTGAATTACCTGCAGTGGTTGGTAGTGTTGCACCACCATGAAGACTGACATATTTTTCAGCTGCAACTTTAGGTCATTGGAGTAACAGAGAGGTAACTTATGTTTTCACCTCTTCCCATTGGTGAGTGACCCACTTCTTCTTACATGTATTTTGACAAAATTAATCTTATTATTCTAGCACATACTATGATAGTTGTGTTGAGAACTGAATTGGCATTAACAATGCCAGTCTGACAGAATGTGGAGAACATCCCAAAGCAGCAAATGCAGGGATTCCCAAGCAAAAAACTGTCTTAAGAGATGTGGTCATCATATGGGCAGATATGTAATTATATTTGCTTCATGTGAATTCTTGATCAATGCCTTACCCCTTTCCCATCTTTTTTTTATGTGTATGGATCGTTTGCTTGCATATGTTGGTGTACCATGTGCATGCAGTGTCCACAGAGGCTAGAAGAAGGCCCCTAGTCCCCTGAGATTGAGGTTACAGATAGTTATGAGCTGCCTTCTCAGTGCTGTGAATTGAACCTGGGTCCTTTGGAAGAGTAGCCAGTGCTTTTAACAGCTGAGCTGTCTCTCCAGCTCCAAGTGCCTTCCTTTTATACATCGGTAAGCTCACCCAGAGATTCTGATGTAATAGCTGTCTTGTTCTAGATGTTCCTGCAGAGCAAGCTGTGGTTTGAACCTTTCTTTTCACTGGTGGACTTTCCATTTTCAGCATGTCGATTATAATAGTAATATTATCAATGTATCTAAGTGTTTAGGGCCCTGGGTATACTCTGAACTTGCAAAGGAATTATGTAGAGTCAGGGACTGACAGTGTATAAAATACCTTGGAAGAAACCTGTCCTTCTATCCACCTTGACAAGACTGGCATTGATAGTGTGCTGCCCCTCTCTGAGGGTTGGGTGGTCTTTTACCTTTTGTTTTAATCAATAGTCTTTGACAAACATGTTTTTAGCTAGAAATGGGAAAATGCAGCCAGGAGGAGGATTGTGCCCGACTTCTTATTTTCAGTAAACAGAGCAGATGGCTGTGTGATTAGTTGTCTTTTTGAACAACAAAGGAAAAACAAATCATTCCCACCCCCACTCCCCAGCCCTGGCTTCTGGGAGTTTCTTGGCACTTTTTACATGCCTTTTGGAGAACACACTTGATGTTGAGGCTTTTATCTTGGCAGCTGAAGTGCCAGGATTTTCATCTCCATTGCCCTTTTATCAGAACTTCTTTCTAGAAGAAACAGACATACCTTTTGGCTGCTCTGTCTGCGTCTGTGTTCTCTTGTTCTCTGTACTGTTCCTTCTGGCCAGCATTTGGCTTCTCCAACTTCCTGCCTTTCTGGTTTCTAAGGGGAGCTAACGCAGAGTGCTTCAGAGCATTCACCCTGGAGCAAAGCCTGCGTGTGAATCTTCATTCTTCTGTTTCCTTCCTCCAAAGGGGCTATTGATGCTATAAGAATTAATACAAAATACTTAGAACAGTACCTTGTTCTGAACAGCACTATATCTGAAGTATTTTATTTTATTTTTAAAGAAAACAAGTGTTCTGTTTCTGAATTACATTGACAGTTACATGGTTCTGAAATGATATGAGGGAATCTTGGGTGAGGCACAGAGCAATTATTAGCCAGCAACAACATAACTCACTCTTGCTACTGAATGAATAAGTCGGTGATAATACGGGTAAATCTGAGTATCAGGACAATGAGGTGGGGGATGCTGCCAAGCCATTTATAGGCACGTAGGCAAAAAATGAAGTTGGGAGATTAGAGGTAGCTAGCTTCCTGTCATCATTGTCTTCATGCAAAGGCAGAGACTTGAGGTGGATTGTAGAAGATTGGACATTTAGGGTCATGGATATTCAGAAGGGTGTGAGAACAGGTACAGTCTCCAGGACAGAGATACATGGAGAGTCTGGGAAGCCACAGGATGACTGCTTCTGCGAAAATGGACTCCTTTCCATTCTGTGAGGAGCATTCATGTTGTCTAGACTAACAAATGACTTTTCTCTTCATCCACAGAAAGGCCCTACTTCTGGGAAAGACCGAGTGAAGAAGGGTGGATCCTACATGTGCCATAAGGTCAGTCAAACTCTGCTAGCTGTTCTTTTGGTCACAAATTCATTGTAACATACCGCCCCCAAATGTTCCCCTTGTTTTTGCTATTGTAAACCTCTTCACATCCAAATGAGAAAAAGACAGGAGAGTCTTAAACTTACTAAGAGTCACAGGGGATAGTAATGGGAGAAACACCCTGTGAATTGCATCCTCTAGATCAGCTGCTGACCCTTGCACTGCTGAGAGGCTTCTTTCTGTTGGCCTCTAAATGAGTCGGGCCATCTACCTCTTCCATGCCTAAGTCTAGGACCACACCCTTAATTTCAGATGTCTGTAAATTTCCGAGTTCTCTGTTGAGATTCAAGCTAAAGTTATAAATGGAGGGTGGTTTGTGGTTTACCAAAATGGAAGCACCCAGGTGTGTCGGGTGTAAACGTGCATTTTTGCTCTGTGAGCTGTGATTTCAGTGTCCAAACTGGCAATTCTTGGTTAGGCTGAGTGATCGGCACCTCACAAGTAACCTTCATAAGGAATTTGGAAATAGAACCTGACCTTTCTTTTTTTTTCTCTTTGAGTCATGCATTTTCCCTGCCTTGAGCACTCAGGGTCTGTCTTTTGGCTCTGTACTAAGAAGCATTTTGCAGTTTATCTTTACCAAGAATCTTTGCATGGTAACTGACTCAGTTTTAGAGACTTAAAACCATCTATAGCAGTTACCATAATTAAGTTACTAATTTGTAATAGAGACATTAGCAAACTTTAACTTTGCTCTAATACAGTAGCCCTCAAATTTTTATCTTGCTTCAGAATCATCATATGTATGAGATAATGCCTGGCTTTTCATGTCTGCCATCATCTGGTTAGATTTTTCTTCTCTATAACCTGGACATCAGGATGTTTTAAAGTTCTTCAAGTATTGAAAACATACAGCAAAGTTTGGTAATGGCCTCAAGAAACTCTAATGAGCATACATGGGTGAGTTTGTAGGTGTGTGTTTTCGACAATTTTCTTAATTTAGAATCTGGCCATGTGATTCAGGAGGGAAGTTCATTCAGTTCAACTCAGTTCTTGTTTCAAACCTACATTAAATGGGCATGATGGCACACACCTTTAACTTCATCCTTCAAGAGGCAGAGGTATATGGAGCTCTGTGAGTTCAAGGTCAGCCAGGGCTAGCCAGCCGTGAGACCTTATCTTAAAACACTGAAATTTTTTTAAAAAAGGAGAACATATCTACATTAATAATAAGATATAGATAAATTTAACCTTATGGAATAATAATTAATTAAGTAAAATTTTGAGTCAGGAGCTTGGTATGTTAGCCAAGCTAGTCTCCAACTCCCAAAATAAAGCATTCTTTCTGCCTGAAACCCCCAATAAATGGGAGATGGACATGTTCTACCTTGTGGGGCTCATGTCTCATTCTGTTTGTCTGCTTGTCTGTTTCTTTTTCTCTCTTTCCTTCTTTCCTTCTTTCTTTCTTTCTTTCTTTCTTTCTTTCTTTCTTTCTTTCTTTCTTTTTTTTTTAGACAAGTTCTCATTGTATATCTCTGGCTTGTCTGGAACATACAACATAGATCAGGCTGTCCTTGAATTCACAAAGATTCACATGCCTCTGCCCTCTAAGTGCTGAGATTAAAGGTATATGCCATCATGCCCAGTCCTCATGTCTCATAAGGAATAAAAAAGTTTTTGAAATTAAGTATTACACTACTGTAGTTGTTATATTTCATTCATATATTTCAGATTGAGGATATTCCAAGTTTTTAATCCTCAATGAAATAGATTTTGCTAGATGCTTTTTGTACATCTGTTGAAACGGTTTTCTTTTCCTTTTTAGTCAGTTAATACAGTATAATATGGTGATGTGTGATTGGTTTCCATTTTCTTCATTTTATCTGTTGTTTGTTTACTTATTTATTTTTGAGTCCATGTCTCACTATGTAGCCAAGACTAAGTTTGAATCCCTGTGGAACCCAGACTCTCACATCAGCACTGGCCATGTCCAGCTCGCTCTCACCTCTCTAGCCATCCCTGCACTCTTGCTGTCTGTTGCACCTAGTCATAACGTGTTTTATATATTTTTGGATTCAGTTTTCTAAAATGTTGAGAACTTTTGCATATAATTAATGAGTAGAACCTTTGTCGTTGTTTCTGTTGTTTGTGTGCTTTTGGTATGTTGTTGTGTTCATAAATTTAATTGTAAAATAATCTTAAATCTTAAGGTTGTTTTTAATCTTCATTTTTTTAAGAAGAGTTCATATAAAATTAACATCATTTCTTTCTGAAATGCTTGGTAGAATTCCCTACTAAAGGCCTTTGGACCTAGAGTGGTACATTTAGCCCATTTTTTTTCATTACTATAAGGAAAACCCAAAAAGAGTTTTTTTTTTTTTTTTTTTTAAAGAATCTTATTTTGGCTTATATTTTTAGGGATCCAAAGTTGAGGAACGTCACATAGTGCTTATATTCATGCTTGGTCCAGAGTTTTTCTAAGAGATCACATGAGAAGTGGTGGTGCTGGTGGTGTGTGTGTGTGTGTGTGTGTGTGTGTGTGTGTGTGTATGTATAGTATGGGTGTTGTGCTTGCATGTATGTTTGAATATCACTTGTATTCTCCATATCACTTTTATTCTAAGTGCCCATGGAGGCAAGAAGAGATCATTGGATCCCCTGGGATTCTAGTTACTACTAATAGTTGGGACCATGTGGTTTCTCAGAATCAAACCTGGGTCCTCTGGGAATAAGGGCTCTTAACTGCTGAGCCATCTCTCCAGGCCCGTCATTCCTAGTTCTTAACAGCCTGTCTAAGTTACAGCTTCAGGAAGGAGATGAGGACACAGAAAGCGAGGCTATGAGGTAGCACAGCAACCAGTTAAGAGCATAGGCTATCATTCCCTGATCTGCTGCTTACCTGGTGTGGCCTTAGGCACACCGTTATTGTCTCTTGGCCTCAGTTTTTCCTTGTGTATAAGTATGTGCCATTTATATCTTTCTCGTAGGGTTATTGAAAGAATGCAGAGTCAGTATATGCTCAGTTGATGGAGCAGTTCACATAAGTACTCAAGTATAGACTTTGGTTCTTGGTGTTGTTAGATTGATGCCTAACATTCCAATGTGCGATCTTCATTCCAGTCCACAGCACCAGGGCTACCCTCCTACTAGAATGACAAAGGGATCGCTCTAGTAGCATTTGAAAGAGCAATGGCAAGGCCTGGGTTCTGGTACAGGCTTCCCTAGAATGAGTCAATATGAGATAAAATTGTCTTAAAAATAGCCTTTATCTGAGAAACGTTTTTCTCTCATGAAAACCATATTTCTGTCCCACTTAAGTTGAAGGCCTGTAGGTCATTATCTTAAATGGATTGTTTCCTGAGCCAAGAGCATATCCTTAGCACAGATACTGAGATCACTTTTACAAAGTAATTAGCCACTCTGATGAAATTAGGCTGAAACAGGTCCCTCCTACTACTCCTGTTCTTAATTAATAGAATGACCCATTTTCCAGCCATCCAAAGACCTAACTTCCTTTAAGAACTACTTTTGATGCTGAGAATAGAGATTGAAAGATATAAAAAGCAACCAGAACACTCCTAACCAGGACATTTGCTCTCTAATTGTGTCTCATTAGTGGCCCATTATTGAAGTTTAAGACAACTACTTATTAATACATATTTTCTGAGTGAATGGATGTGTGTAAGTAGAATGATAGTAGTATGAATTGACTCTGCAAGTGTTGGACATGAGCTCTCAGCACTCGTGTGTGCGTGTGTGTGTGTGTGTGTGTGTGTGTGTACAAGGATCGAACCTAGTGACTACACACACTGCGGAAGTGCTTACCACTCATTTCCCCATCCCTTCTCTACATGTATGGTGAGACTTTCTGTTTGGGATTCCGATTTTCATAGTTGTCTAGTTAATGGAAGGCCTCGGGAACTGCTGTGACCCAGTAGTAAAACCTTTTGTAGTTGCTGAGTTTTTGAAAGTTTTTTGTTACATACATGTCATGAGTTTTATATACTTTAAAATCTATTTTTTCAACTTTGAATTATTTTGTATTATACTCAAGGTTTTCAGTTATGGTCATAGTAACAGTTTTGTGTATCAGCAGTCTTTTTCTAGTCTTGTGTCATCGATGCAGAACCCTTTTCAACACTGTTCTGAGCAGGCACTAAAACGTCATCATAGATAGTGCATCCTGCCTTTTGTAGCATGTAGAATAATCCATCCAAGGAAAACACACTCCTGTGCCTTATCACCAGGGCTGCCCTTCAGCTTGATGGTTTGTGTGACACATAACCCGTTCCCTACCATCCAGGTAGTTCAAGTGTACCCACAGCCGGAAGCTGGGAGAGGTGTCATCTTTTTCCAGCAGACAACCCAGGATCTCAGAGGCCTGATCTAAGCTGGACAGTGCTGCTCTTGTTTCCGTGAGGACGAGGTCAGCCAAGCCGAGGTTCAGTGACAGAGTTTGTGTCCTCAAAGCAAAGCTTTTGCAGTGCTTTCTCTACAGTGCTTGTTTTGTTTGTTTCTTAATGAGGGCTTTGTTTTGGTACGTTTCCATTTTTGTGGTGCAGGGATTGCTTGCTGACACTAGGCACGTGTCTGACAATGAGCTCAGTCTCCAAGCCAAGATGACTGTTCTTATGTACTTTTACGGACGGCTTTATTTTATCAGTGAGGACAGATTCTGGAAGGCTCTGCCTAAGGTTAAACAGCCACTGAGATTGGGATTTTTTTTTCCTTGCTGGTCAAAAGATTAGCAAAATGTTTATCACAATTTTCACTTGTATTGAGTCCAAACTCCTTGAACTGTGGACATGGTGATATGATTCCATTTATTTATCTGCTCACATGTCTTGCTTTCTAATTTTCTCTGGAATTCCAGTTTTCCAATTCTTTGGGGATCTCAGCTCCCTCTCAGAGAGTCTTTTCCAAACCAAAGCTCTAAAAAGTGGTCACTATTGCTTACGATGATCACTCCCTACTTTTCCTTTCTTCAGAGCCGACCACTGCTGGAAGCAGTCTTGAATGCTTCAGTCTGTTTGCAGTCTGACTCCTCCCTTTAAATGGCAGCTCTCTGATAACAGGTTCCTTGTCTGTCTGTTCTGATTGCATTCCTCATGCCTAAAATTGCAGCTGGTGTATATTACAAGCATTCATATATTTAGTATAACCTGGCTGTGATGTGATCAGGCTATGTATACTCTGGCTGTTGTTTTGCCCAGTTTTTTCCTTTTTTGTGCTTCTGATACCACTCTTTAGCCACTTAATCAGCCTGCCATCTTCCTTTATAAATTGCTGCTATTCAGAGTGTGCCACAGGGGTTGAGCAGGGACTAAAAGCTTGTTAGAAATGTATCTTGAGTACCACATGAGCACCATGAACGCAGCATGTCTGATGTCTAGGTGTATATTTGGACAACCTCTTCAGTTTGTCTGTTTATCTGTCTCTCTCCACCTCTCTCTCTCCCCCCTCTCTGTGTGTGCTTGTCTGTGTTTCTGTCTGTTTCCTGAGTATTAGTTACTTACCTTGTTGCTGTGATAAAATACATTGATTAAGGCAACCTAAGGACCAGTGACAAGACTGGGTGAAAGTACGTGCCAGGACTGATGACTGTCACTGGATCACTGGAGTATGCAGCACACACCCAGAATAAATAATTTAAAAGCTTATGAAGGAAAAGATTTATTTTGGTCAACAGTGCCACAATAGTCTACCATGACATGGAAGTCACAGTGCTTATGGCTTGAGGTAGCTGGTCACATCGTGTCACAGTCAGGAAATAGAGAGGGACAAACACTACGGTTCTTCTTTTTATGTAGTCTAGAACTGTAGCATAGGGAATGATGCCACCTATATTTAGGTTGTGTCTTGCACATTAGTTAACCTCATCAAAATAATCCCTCCTAGGCCTGGGCAAATGTTATTCTCTGGTGATTCTAGATCCTATCAAATTGATAGCATTAATCATCACACTACATTCTGAGAACCATGCCATAAGCATGTATGTATCACCTAGGCCTTCCCAGAGACACTGGCATTCTGCCAGAGACCCAGCTGACTAGCTTAGCTCAAGGCTGTTTATAAGTTTTTGATGCATACTTATTGTTTTCTCATCTGCCTGTGTCCTCCAACAAGCCAGGCCAGAACCATGCCTAGATCTGGTTCTAGACATATTCCTCTTGGTATATGCTGTCAGGAAATGGAATGCTTGGTTGTTTTCATCGTGTGTGGCCCCTTCATGGGATAAGACTGCCAGAGTCTTCAGTGTGCCTACCCTTGAGCTTGACCTTTGCTGCCATGTGTAATTCTCTGTATATGTGTGGTTTCATAGAGGCTCTGAGTTTGATTCTAGAAATATCTGCGTTCTGTCATTTCTCAGCAGTCTAGTTCCTGTGCTGATGATTCTGCTGTGTCTCCTCACACTTCTTGCCAGACATTTGAGAGCTTCTGTTCATCACCTTATTATTTCAAGCACATTCAGAATTCATCTTCTGCCTGTCTACCTGAGCATTGGTAATTCTGTTCCTCACTCTCCACAAGGAAAATTGGTTGCTATTGTTTTATTATCGATAGAAGATAGCACATTATGTCTTCCTTTTTAAAAAAAAAAAAATGGGGAAAATACACCAGAGAATTTCCATGTCAGCCTCAGAGATAATTTTTATGGAGATTAGAAGCTTCTGACTTTTTGTGAGAGAAAAGAAATAATAGGAATAAAAAAATGTCTTGCATGCTGACCTATTTTTTCCCTTCCCACACATTATCTCTTCTGTGTGAGTTCCCAACTACTTCTACATGATTCTTTTTGAAATGTCTTTTTCCAGCTGGCAGCAGTTGGTTCAATGGGCCAACTCTTGACTTATGCTCATGGCTTCTAGGGTGACTAGTTTGTTTTTATTTCGTGCTATTTTGAACTGGAGAATGAACTTCATAAAAGTTCCATGAATGGTTGTTTTCTTGCAGCTTTCAAAATTCTGTGTCAAATAGTCCATGGCCACAGATACATGTCCTGAATGTTTGTGTGAGTGTATGTAAGTAGGCTGTGTGTTGGTGGTAGGAAAGATGACGTGAGATGAATGGTACCCTTTGCTCTAGGAGTCTAGACTCTTGCTAAGAAAGGAAGCACACTACAGTTTGTCCAAAGTGGAATCCTGCTTTCTTCACCCTTTTGTAACTTGTTTGATTTGCCTAGACTCTTACAATAAAAGAAATACCAGATAAAAGTGCCCACTACCATGATGAATATGTCCTAGGAAATCAAGGCCCATGTTTGTGTGAGCATTTATTCTATGCTTTTTCACAATTAGACAGAATGAAATAAGCAACCCCAACACATATAGTTTTATTATTACTGTGATTTAAAATCCTGAGGTATTGAGAAGAAAGTAGTTTTCCAACAGCTTTTCTTATATTTTAAGTTCCTATGTTGACTCTTAAAATTTTGCCAGTGTGTTTAATATATTCCATGATATTTGATGCTGTTATTAATCTTTTTGGTGCAATTTACATCTATTGTTATAATGTCAAAAATTGATATAATACACCCAAAATTAGAAGCTTTGCATTCAAGAATAATGATTTTGAGTATGTGCATGTTGTAATCTCATGGGTCTTTTGGTCCTTTTAAGCATATGATTATATAGGTTAGATCAAACTACATACACACACATACATAAACATGTTTCTTAGTTTGTAATGGCTGACTACACAATCACATGGGTAACTATAGGAGGTTACTGTTTGCTTTTTTGGGTGTTGTAAGTAGTGGTGGCCTTTCTCTTGTATGTAGGTGGTATTTGTAAGGTAAACAATGCTGGCTAGCTGACTCTTGAATGTGCTGCCTTTTGCCAAGCTGAATATCTTAAGAAGGCAGTTGAGGGGCAGCTCTGCTTTCAGGTAGCTCCGAGTTTGCTGTCCCAGGTATTTTTGTGAAGCTGTATCTAACCTAAGCCTTAAGTCAAGGGTTCCAGGATCTCTTATGGCTTGTTATCTCTTATAGTCCTATTGCTATAGGTACCGCTGTGCAGCTCGAAGCCAGAACACACCAGATAGCTCTGCATCCAACCTGGGATTTCGTTGTGCAGCAAACCACCTGCCCACTGCAGACTGACAGACAAAAGGAGCCCTTCCAGGTCCAAGAAGTTGTTTCTTACTTGTGGCTGGCCTTTCCCTGGAGATCTGAACTGATCTTGTGTAAAATATTCCCACCTGAGGAGAGTTACATGTCCACCCAGTGGCCAAAGGAACTGTCTCGTGTGACCAAATTGCTGACGTGTGTCAGTGCTTGTGCTTTATTGTGTGGTGTATCTTTGGGGATCATCGCCATGTTTTACTTTGAGAGCCTTTTGAAGAGGAGAGAGCTGAGAACCATGAAGTCCTGGCCAGACTCTGCCACACGGTCAGACCCTGGAGTCCAGCACCTTGTCTCCCTGGGCCTGAGTCTCCTCAGGAAATGAGGGGTGGACGACATGGTCTCTGAGGCTCTCTCCGACTTGCAGATTCTATTCACATTAGCAGAGTGTATTGTGATTGCATAGTGAGAATTTATGACAGATTATTTTTTAGCTATTTTTTTGCCATATGTGAATCTTGAGTAATACTGATCATATAAGGTGAGAGTTCTCTTATGTATTATTTTCAGAGAAGGGTGGGGTTCGAGTCTTTTATATTCATACTGCACTTTGTTCTTTCAAGGAAATCAGTGTCTTTAACATTGTTGTGACAAATCCCATTGGGACAGTGAGGGGACACTCAAGTTTGGAGATCTGAACACCCAGGAATGCCTGTGGAGTGACTCTATTGTCCTTTTTCTTTTGACATTAAGTGCCTTTGGCTCAGAGGGACAATTTGAAGCCTTGTTTTTCCCTTTGCCCTCCAAGCCTTCAAAGAATGTGAAATGTGTACTAATTAGGAAAACCATTGAATTCTAGGTACATGGATATTGCGGTTTGGTCTGATGTTATGTATTGTAATGCTGAATCCTGTACCTGAAGGTCTAGGCCTGTGAGTGAATTCTCACATTTACAAGCTTTTTTTGTGCAAACCTTGTTCCTTAATTTAAAACTGTTGGTTAAATAAAATTGGCTACAGCCAATTACTGGAGGGATTAGAGGTAGGTAGGTTTCCAGTTACCTGGTTGGGGGTGGAAAGAGAGGAGAGAGGAGAGACCAAGGAGAGAAGGAGGAAGGAGAGGATAGGTGGAGCTGCCATGAAGGGAGATGGGCAAGTATCTAGGAGAAACTGCAAGTATCTGGGGAACCGTGCAGGGGAGGCAGCAAGGCCAGCAGTTAGAAAAGTAGATTAGGGATTACCCCCAGTAATTGTCAAAGCCACATAAAATAACCATAGTCTGAGTCTCATTTATTTGTAAACCAGTTGGGGATAGACTTATATTGATACCACACGGGAGAAAAAGAACCAGGGCCTTGAATAGACTACATTCAGGGTATCTGGTGTATTATACCAGAGAGATGAGAAATTTTGTTGATTTTGCGATATCAGATGCTTTGAATCATGCACTATGTCAAATAAACTAGTACCTCTCAAGTCAGACTTCATGTCTTCATTCCTTGCAGAGACTCGCTCATTCCTTCCTTTGTGTTTTTCTTCAAAAACATCATTTTGTGCTGCTCCTGTGTTTTGTTCCCCAGAAAGAAGCTAGTTGATAACTTTGATATATGGGTAGTTTGTAGCAGTTTTTATTCTATAAAGCAAGGCCATTCTGCCAAGAATCCTGTTATACCCTTGCTACTTCTTGCCACAATACATGATACAAAGTCAAGGGCATTGCCTTGGTGAACAGATGCTTCCGATGCCAGGAAAGCACTTTGTTCAGAGTAAAGGCTTTCAATTCAAGATTGCTGTTGCTAGCATCCACCCAGGTTTCCAGAGTCCCGAGTCCTTGAGCCATTTTTAGCAAAGCTCATCTTCATGTTAGTTGCTCACAATGTCAGTCAAGTAACATCGGAAGTGACCAGTCAACACTGGGTTGCTACTGTTACCATTTTACTTTAAAAAGTATATTCCCATGTGAGCACATGTGTACTTGTGCCATGCACAAAGGTTGGAAGACAACTCATGAGAGTCTGTCTTCTTCCACACTGTGGGTCCCAGAAATTAAACTCTAGTCCTCAGGGTTGGTGGCAAACACCTATAGTCTCAGAATCATCTTATCGGCTCTTGTTTTGTAGAGGGATCTGTAGCCTAGGTCGATCTGAAATTCCCTAGGTTGACCTTGAACTTTTTGTCCAGCCTCAGTCCCCTAAGTACTGGGGTTATTGTCATGTCCCACCGTGTCTGACAGTGTCTGTGTCTGTGTACAACTTCTTTATAAAGTAGTCATGTGGCTTGTATATATAGACACATTTATGATCACTTTGGGAATATAAACCATTTCTCTAAAAGTTTCTGTGTGATGATTAATCCCACTCAAAAATAACAAACAGACAAAGCTTATGTAGGAAACAAGGTTTTTATTTTTAACGTCACCATTCCTCCCGTACAGTTTCTGTTTTTACTTATTAGCTCCCACCTGTGTGTGAGTGCACTCACCACCTGTATGTGTTTTACATCATTAAATTATAGTGCATATATTTTACTCTTTCTCTGTTGATTAATGTTATGTATCATAAACATTCTTGAGTGGTTTTGGGCATCCTTAGAACTTCATTCATTCTTAGCAGCTCCTAGCATGTCCTAGGATGTAAGAACCACATATGTAGGTTACCACAACATACTCTCCTAATATTACAGACTGACATATGAGCAGGCAGACAGAACATAATAATAACAGTTTTGTATTTCAGTACCATAAATGTGTCTCTGGATATGTTACTTGCTTGTCTTGTCCTTGGACCTGCTGATGCTGGGCCTGTGGTGAGGTACATCATGGCAGCCAAAGCATGTGGAAGAGGAGGCTGCTTACATCACGGAGGACAGAAAGCAGAACGAGATGAGACCCCAGGTATAACCTTTGCAGAAACACCTCTTCTGAACTAATTCCTTCAGCTAAGTCCCACCTCCAAAAATTTCTGCAATTTTTCACAAATAGAACCACAAACTGGGGGCTGTTTAACACATGTGCCTGGGTAGGGCAATCAAACCATTAAGACTGAAGGTCTTTATCTACTACAAAACTGTACACACACACACACACACACACACACACACACGAAAAAATTCTCAGATAGAAGCAGACTACTTAGGAAACTTTCACAGCAGCACTTGTAAAGTAGGTGTCTTAAGGAAACCAGGACCCTAATGGAGTCCCTACTGCCATCTGTAAGGAGAGTTAGAACTATTCATGCCCTTGTCCCTGTATCCCCTTACACTCTCCCTTTAGGATCCGAACCCTTAAACTCTTGTGCTTCTAATGGAGACCATTTCCATCAAAAGTCAAACCTGGATTCAGGGACTAGACTCCTCCTCAGTTGTTTTTTATGAAGCAGTGTCTTTGCAGTTTCTTAGTTGCATTTTCTGCTCCCAGGAGAGCTTAACATAATAGGAAATGGAACAGTTTCCTAAGCTTCTAACTTAACCACTCTTGCATTAAGGAAGGGCATCCCCAAAGGAGTTTTAGTTGTTTTATTTTTATTTTCTGAAGATCTTCCTAAATTGATTGCAAGGAAGTTTGTGCTTGCTTATTTCAAAATTTGTTGCAACTCCTACAGAGCCCAATACAACTCACCACCCTATATTTCCTGCTTGTTAGTCACTTTGTCATTTTGCATTAAATAAGTTCTATGGCAGACAGATTGTCAGGGGGACCAGTTTCAGTATGGAAAAGCAGCTTGTTTATATCTAGTGTCTCCTTCAGTTGCCCTTATTTTAGGTTGCCTTCTAACAGTTTTTGTTTCTTGTCTCCATTGGTGCATAGAAGGAATTTGGAGTATGTTTTTCAGTCTGTTTTGGCCTCATTTTCCTGATACTCATGCTTTATTTGAAGAGTGTGTTGTATATATTAGTTGAGTGGGAAGTAGGCATTTCTTCTTTCTGAAGGCCTTAGAAAACATGATTAGAAGGGACCCAGAGTTGGCAGGTGATGGGGGTGGCAACCAAGAGTGACACTTCCTTCTTGTAGAATATTGAATTGCAAATCTGTTGCAAACTTCACAAGGCTCAGCCTATAGTTTAAAGGGAACACAACTCAATGCAGATTTCTTTTCCCCTCCATCTTCCCACCTCTTTTGGACAAAACATTTCAGTTGTCTGTTGCTTTTCAGGAAAAGAGTAAAATGAAAGGTACTGTTTATCTCAGTAGGTGTTGATTAGGGCACGGGTGTGGGAACATGGTGGTTTCAAAATAGTGTGAGAGTGGGTCACTTCTGTTTCCATGTCTTCCCTGATAACTGAATGTTGACATAAAATAGAATAATGGCCTTCAACCATGGGAATCACAGCGTTCTCACTTGTCTGGTGATCAGCTTTACTAAAGACATCATCTTTATCTGCAGTTTTCCAGTAGCACTTAGAATTTTTTCCATGAAGTTAAATCTATGGCTGACATAGAACAGGGGAATTTTTGGAAACAAACATCATTTGCTTTCTGTCTCAAAACTTCAGGACTTTTATAAGAGGCACTATAGAGGTGTTTTTATTTCATTGATTTTTTTTTTCATTTTGAAATGATGCTATAAGTACATCTTTTTCTCCTCTTCCTCCTTTCCGTGGACAATTATCTTAGCACAAAAGGATTAATCCATAGGCTAGTTATCAGGAAAAGGAAGTATAGTGGGAGTAGGGGTGGGTGAGGCACCCAGAACAACAGCAAACCTGAAGTGCCACAGGTGGAGCAAGCTGTGTGTGAGGCCCATTTTAAGAGGCTGAGAGTGCAGGCTGGCACTGCTAAATTGTTAGGAAAGAGCTAGATATTTGCATTTAAAATAACATTTCTTACTACCTTTTATGCTTGTATGTGTTTATGTGCTACCACACACATGGAGGTCATGTGTGCAAATCTTCTGTCCTGTATGTCCTGGTACTCAAACTCAGGTAGTAACGGTTAGCAGCAAGCACCTGCACTTGCTGATCCCTTCACTTCCCTCCTGTTGTGTGGCCTAAAAGCCCTACATTTCCACATATCCTCTTACCCTGAGTCCTGAGGTTATAGGTCTGTGTCATGCTCTTTCAGAAGATCTAGGTTCAGTTCCTGGCACCTACATGGTAACTCTCAGCCACCTGTAACTCCAGTTCCAGAGGATCTGACATCTGTGGACGATAGGCATTCTCATGATGCAGACACACAGGTAGGTAAAACACTATACACGTTACAAAATCAAGTAAATCTGAAGAATGGGTAAAAGGTACACTGAAAAATTCATTTTATGGAGTGCAGTATACATGGGAAGAATGACTGATCCTCAAATAGTACTCAAAGAGTATGTGAGAGAAAGGGCAGCAGCTTGCCTAGGGGTCTCATTTTGCCCAGAAGTCCCTTGGAAAGCTCCATGCCTCCTTCCCCACCCCATCACACCTAGAATGAGTTCACAGAATTGTGTGCTCAGTAGACACACTGACAGTACATTTTCATTCCCTTTGCCCTTCATCACTAAGTTTTCCGGTTAATACCAGGTAGTACCACAAATGTCAGGTTCCTGACCAATGGCTTCATTTTTAGCGGTTGAAACTTGCTTCTTGTAATACAAAGTCCCCAGAACAGACCTTAGTTCCACAGGTTTGTCAGAATCTGGCCTTTGGTGTTTCTCATTCTTAAAACACCATGGAAATTATTAACTCTGAGAACCTGGGATGAAACCTTGGCAGCTAGCCAGAGCTCCCTTTTCCCACTGTTGTGTTTAGATCAGTAGAGCCAGAGTTTAATTAATTTTTTTGATTAAGCAAAATCATTACAGATGATATTTAGGTAGGCTGTGAGGTAAGAAACACTGGATTTTGAAACTTGCCTTATTTGAGTTCAGAAGGTTCAAGGGATTAAAACCAAGGGATCAAAATGGCCAGCTTCAGATTCTAACCTGTCCCCGAATGGTCACTGACCCCAAAACCTTCATCACAAAAAGGCTGGTTCATTGGGTCTTTGGAATTTCAGAATAATTGAAGGTCAGATAGAATTGCTCTCCTGGCGTGAATCTAGGCCCTGTTTGACAGACTCTGTGCTTTATCTGCTGAAGGGAATGGAAGCTATCAGAGTGACTTCTATCATGTCAGTTTGGCACCTCAGCAAAGTGCTATTTGAAGCTCAGAATCAGCCTAGGAGAAAACTGAAACTAGCTAACGGCTGCCAGAGCCAAAGAGGTGAGGCTGTCCTCATGACCCGATAAAGGTTTGCCTTCATTTTGTTCATGCCTGTTGTTTGCTTTCTCAATGTCTGCAAGTCTTTTCTCTTTATACACTTGACAAATACAATCTTATCTTTCTTTAAGTGACACAGGAAAATGTGTCTTGAATCTTGTCCTTCAGTAATTGTCTTCAGCATCATGTTGAAGGAGGTCATTGCGGATCCTGTCCCTCTGTTCCTGTCTACTTCTCTGAGACACCTTTAGGCAGGTAACAATCTTCAAGGTAAAATATATTTGGTGATAATGCCCACCTATGGGGATTACGGATCAAGGAGAGAATGTGAAACTCAAGTGTTTAGTGTGGTGTACTTCATCACGGTTTCCTAGCTCCTCATTTCTGTTGTGATTCTGTTATTAAAAGCAGATGAGGGGCTCAGTAAGTAGGTCACTTGCTGCCAAGCGTGACGACCCAAGTTTGATACCTTGGTTCCATATGATGGAAGAAGGGAACAGACTCCTGCTAAGTGTTCTCTGACTTCCACAGGTATGCTGTGGCCTATGTGTACTCATACATGTTCACACACACACACACACACACACACAAACATGTTAAAAAAACAAAGCAGAGGAAGAGATAGGACAGTCAAGTAGACAAAGAACAAAATGGACTAAGGCTACATGAAAGTGTGACTCAGATCTCCATTAATTGACAACTTGTATCCTAGATCCCTGACTTTGCAATTATCCCTCTTATGCTACATGGTCTGTCTGCTCCACAAAGTATATTGCAAAAGGAAAGTTGGATCTGGTATTTGCTGTCGTCTGTAATTCTGAAGCTTATCCTCTTTAACCTGCCTCACAATGAAAGTGCTTCTTGTGGGGCTGGCCTTGTAATTCACTGGCAGAGTGCTTACCTGGCATGTCCAAGGCCCTTAGTTTGATCCCCAGCATCTCAATTAAAAGAGAAGTTACTCATGAGCATAGCAATTTAGCAAAGAGCAGGAAAGGGAGTGCAGCCTGTTGGTTGGTGGGGTCTCTGAGCTGATTTGATTTTGGTTTAGTTCAGCCTCGTGATTTAAATTCATTCTTTTCTCTGTGATTACAGGTCCAGAATCTCCGTTCTCACTTCAGCAACTCCTGCATTTAAACAGTAAGATGATGTTCAAGGGAACAATTAGGGTTTGGGAGAAAGGACTCACGGGGTACAGTGCTTTCCTAGCTCAGCAGTTTGTGTGATAATGTCTGGGGCTCTGAGGATCTCGGCATCATCGGGGTCAGTGGGTCAGCAGTATTTTCAACTTTATTAAATTATTATTATTATTTCCTAGTATCACATAAGTGTACTGTACAATTTTCAAGAGACTTCATGGTGTATAGCTTCTTTTAAATTCTCTGCCATTTTTAGGAGTGAGAACTTTGAGAGTGAAGATCCACCACTTGTTAGATCTGTGGCTTTGATTGAGTTCATCAGCCCATTTAAGGTTTCTCTAGGAGAAAAGCATGGTCCCACAGTAACTAACTGTCTTTGTCTTTGAAGAACATGACCCACCCTTCTCCAACCCCTCTGAAGACAGCCAGCAAGAACTGAGCACAAATTACTCTAAGAACAGCTTAAATGACCTTCCAAGAAACTGCCATGGCATGTCACATCTTCCACATAGCCTTTGAAATGTCATCTGGTGTATGGACAAGCTTTGTAGCTGGAATCAGTCTAGTGTCAGACTTCAAGGGTTCCACATGTATTCAGTACATGAGAAGCAAGATTCCTCAACATAGAAGCCTTCACTTGAGGGCACAATGGTCTAGGACCTTGTGTGTCCTTAATGTCCTCCCTTTAGGAGATGGCTGTATTACAAAGCCAGTGAGAGGGGGCAGGCTGTTGCTGTCTGAAGCACCCACTTTGCTCTTTCCTGCTGAGGTTTGACTTCTTGGTGCTATGGCTTGTGATTACTCCACCTCCTCAGGTTTGCTTCCCAACTATTAATTTCAGGCACCTTCTGGGTGCTCAGCCTTGTACGGAGTGCATAATGCCCATGATCTAATTTGATTTGGAGCACGGTGGTGGGAGGAACTAGTTGTTTTGGGTCATTATTCCCAATGGGCATGTAGGAAACTAGGACTCTATGTGTCTGCAAGGCGCCCTGGGGCAGCTGTGGGATGAGGTAGGACCAGGACTTACTGTTTTTGTCGCTGCTATGGTATTGGATCTGTGACTTGATTGTGAGTTTGGTATCAGGAAGCATGGATGGAGTCTGAGAGATTTTCAGGTCAAGAAAAAAAAAAACCCATAGGGAGAAACAGCCAGGTGGGAGGTAGCTTTGTGGTTGAGAACATGAGCTTCAGGCTGTGTAATTCAATCATTTTAAGTCTGGTCCCACCTCTTGTTAGATCTGTGGCTTCATCAACCCATTTAAGGTTTGAAAATTAAGTGAAAGTATGTATAGACGGCATAGAACCCAGCCAGGGCTGTTACAGAAGTATAGGTTGATCCATGCAAAGACCCTTGACTTGCCTTAAATCTGGTCCCTTCTCAGAATGTCTCTGCTCTGCCAAATCTTAGTCCCTCCAATGAGTTAATGAGACATCCAAAGTTAAGACCATGGCATTTTTTGGAAATGGAAAGACAGATTTTCAGCCCATCCTCCCCCTCCATGCAGCATGTATCACTTATTTTTACAAATGATTAGATGACTCTCAAGATGTGAATTTGTCTTAGAGGTGAAGTAGAAGAAGGGTGGATATATGGGAAAGAGTCATCTTGCTGGAAATAATGGCAACCATGGATACGTTGTCAGCTTATCTGTGCCAGGCTCAAGTGCATGAAAAGAATGAAATGGATAGAGGGGCCTGAGATCCAATATGAAGAAGAAGGGGAAGAGTGTGTTCCCTGTGCCTATTCAGCCAAAGGCTGCAAAACTTACTATTAAGTCCCCTGATTTTTGTGAAACAAGGGTGACCTTTCCTGTTCTCTTACCTGTGCTGCTGGGCTCAAAATGGAGCATTGTTCCTTAAGAAACAATTTTGGGGGCAGCTTCCAGCTGCCCTTTGCTTCTGTTCCAGAACAGTTGTAAATAGTTGAGTGCTGGTGGTAGAAACCCGCCATCACGACAGTCACGATCATGTGTGTAATCATTAGCGGAGGCCTTCGCTTCAGGACATATTAGGGAAGGCAAAGACTGGAACACAGTGGTCATTGTTTGTGGTCTCTGAGCTTTGAGCAGTGCCAACATTTGCACCTCCTCCTGTGGCCACATTCCTCTGTAAGGTGGCTGTGCTTTTATGTGTAACGTTCTCCCTCTAGTGGCCAGATGGCCTTTGTAGTTATTTATTTTATTGTTTTCTTACAGTTTTTTGACTAAATCCTCTGTAAATTTGGAGGACTTTTTATTTAGGGGTGCTGTGGATTTAGGGTTGCTAAGAGGAAGGAGCTAAACTAGATGGGGTAGATAATTTCTTCTCATGAGTTAATGTTCAGCTGTTTGTTTTTATTTGTTTATTTGGTTTTAGTTTATGTGTGTGAGTGTTTTGCCTACCTGTATGTGTGTGCATCACAAGTGTCTGGTGTCCACCAAGGTCAGAAGAGAGTGTCATATTCCTTTGAACTGGAACTCCAAGACAGTTGTGAGCATTTTGTGGGTGCTGGGACCCAGACCTAGGTCCACTTCAGGAGCAGCCAGTGCTCTTATCTGCTGAGCCATCATTTCCTGCTAGCTTTGTAAAGAACGGACAGAAAGAGAGCTTTGAAATTATTCCTCATCTTTTCAATTGGAGTTTTTTGAAACATTACTCTTATTAAGACTTATCTTACATCATCTCTTATTAAGGAAACTTGTCTTTGCAATGGATGAATACCATTACAGAGAACCACAACCAATCACAATGCAAAGGTGTGGAGCCTAGCCTCAGTGTATAAATTTACTGAACATCCCCAAACCTAAGGCTCAGAGGACATGGCAGAAGAGGGGGCAGAGGGGTCACAACAGATAGAAGAGTAGAGGATTTGCTGTGAAACTCTGTCCTGTGTCTGCCATCTCAGAAGCTACACCCATAAAGTCTCACCTGCATGACTGCATAACGGGAGGTGAACAGGGACAACAGACATTCCAAGATGCATGGCAGAAAGCCCAGGAGGCCTCAGCCCTACACAGAGAACTGTGGAAGGCTGAGAGCGGGAGAAATCATCTTCCCCAGAGAAGAGCACACCAACTGCTTATCCAATACCGAAGCTCCCTGAAAATGTACATACAAGTAGCATTATAGAGACTGAGCAGGTTATATTTAGGGAAATAAATATATATGCATATATGCATGTAACAACAATTAATGAAAAATAGAGGTTATATGTTTGAAAGAGAACAAGTAGAGGTATAGGGGAGGGAGAAAAGGGAAGAAATGATGTGATTTTATATTATAATCTTAAAAAGTATTATTAATAGCTATGTATCAAGTTTCTCCAGAAAAATCTGTATTTTAAAAATTTATCATATGTAATCAATACCTGGGGTAAAACTAGAAACTCAAAGGAGTAAGTAGAGGTTGAGGCAGAGAGACTGTTGATTTGAGGCCGGCCTTGGGCTTAGCTATGTAAAGAGACTTTCAAAAGCAAACAACACAACATAAAATGTTCTTTCTGTTCCCCACCCCCTTCTCACTCTGTGGTGTTTCTCTTTTATTCTGTAAATTCTGATCTTTCAAACCCACGGCAGTCAGTTATCATTGTCAATAGTCTCTTTCCAGATTTTTCTATGCATTTATAAACAATACTATACATGTGTACTGATATGTACAGAATCAGCTGATACGCACAATCATGTCTGTGCTCACATATAGAAATGATATGGAATGTATAAAAAATCTAAACCAAAGTAGAGCTGGGGTATATAACTTAGAGAACACCTGCTTAACATTTGTAATGGTGTGAGAGTTTGATACCCATCACTGAAAGAAAAAGAATCTGTAAATACTCTATCTTTGGAGCTGGAATTGTAGACGGTTCTGAACGGCTATGTAATTTCTGGGAACTGGAGCCCAGTCTTCTGGAAGAGAAGACAGTGCCCCTAACCACTGAACCATCTCTGCAATCGCTCCTTTTAAAATTTTTGAAGTGCACCTTTTAGAATATTTCATTTTTAAATTATGTGTATATGCTTGTGTCTGTGTCTGTGTGTATGTGCATGTGAGTACATGTGCTCTGTGTGTATATGCTTGTGTCTGTGTGTATGTGCATGTGAGTACATGTGCTCTCGGAGGCCAAGAAGGATGTGTGGCATCCTCTGGAACTAGAGTTACAGGTGATTCTTAGCTGCCATGTGGTTGCTGGTAATCAAACTTGAGTCCTCTGCATGTCTTAAACCATTGAGCCATCTCTCCAACGCCTAGAGTATTGTTGTTGCTTTAAATTATGAGTGTGTGTGTGTGTGTGTGTGTGTGTGTATCTGTCTGTCTGTCTGTCTGTGTATGTGTGTGTCTGTGTGAGTATGTGAATGCAGGTACCTGCAAAGACCAGAGTATGGTGTTAATTCCCTATAGCTGGAGTTACAGGTGATTTGTTTCACTTGACCTGGGTGTTAGGAAGCAATCTTGGGTCTTCTGAAACAGCAGCAAATACTCTGAACCGCTGAGTTGTCTCCACAGCCCAGGTATAGTTCATTTTAAAGTAATTGGTTTGATTTAAACATTCCTTTACCCTAAGTATCTGGGTTATTTTTTTAAATCTTCACTGTTAAAATGTTTCAGCAGACCAGTTCTTGCTTATTTATCTTTGGTAATAAGTGGCAATATGTTGGTAGGATAAGTTCCTGGAGCTCATATGCTGTATTTAAACACACACTTATTTTAATAGTGATGGATATTGCCAGCCCTCTGTAGCAGTTTACAACACAGGAAAGGGTATACCCATGTTATATACTCCAACACAGGGACTCTGCTGTACTTCAAGAGTTCTTTATCCTACTTTGAGTCTGAGAAGAGCCAGCAGAGCTCGGCATAGGGGAAATTCTTCTGCAGGGTTCAGGAATAGCTGTCATGGGGCTGGACAGTGGTGGTGGGCAAATCAAGCCCTGGTCTTCTTGTGGTCTAGCACTACAGTCTTCTCAGCTTTCTGTGGCTGAAATGCTACCCTGGGGTATGCAGCTTGGTTCACTCTTGGTT